CAGACTGTTGATTTGTATTTTCTTGGGGGAAAAAATCAAATAATCCCAGATCAAGAGGGGAAGGCTGATCAGGAAAGGATCATCTGTAAAATGTAGATCATTGCAACTGCAAGGAGTTTGGCTGCTCTGGGAGAGGATTTTGTGTTCTGTACTATGGTAACTGAGAGATGGTTACAGCTATCTGATAGCACATCATTGTTAGGAATAAAGTGGACTCATGTATCCAGATCCATTACACTCTGTCCAAATACTGCATCATGCAAGAGATGCTGTCTAATAAAATGCTGTTCTAAACTATCCTTTACCTCAACATAGCAAGAAAAAAAATGAACAAGGAAACTGTTACACTTATGACTTTGAGCATTAGTTATTTTACTTGAATAAATTGCAGACATTGGAGTACTGAGTTTCTGCCTACAATTTGGTCTAAAGAATAGAGAACTATATATATATATTACTGACAGGTTAATTCATTGCTGTATCTGTACGGTGCCCACAATGTAATTAGTGCCTCAAATGGAGTTAGTCAGTCCCCAGCCAGCTTTCACTGACGAGCCTACAGAAGTGCTCAGAGCTTAGATTTTCACCTGTGTTTATGTAACTCATTCTGCTCATGTCCTGTGTGTTTGAGAATACTTCTTTATTTTCAAAGCTCATAGCTACAGTCCTTCAGTCTCTACTGAGGCAAAACTCTCCTTGAGGTCACTGAGAATCGTGCCTGTGGATTGTCATCAGAGCTGTGCAGCAGGCTCTAGGGGTATCACATAGCAATATAAATGCATGTGTTTAAGGTCATACATTCTTCCACAAGTGCTGATCAATGGGGCACTGATTGCACACTGTAATTTTTAAAGATTATGTATATTTAAGCCAAAGATTCTCAACCAGGATGCCATGAAATCATTTCAAGGGTCCTGCAGTGTGCCACTCAATATTAGCATGGTTAGGTGTTCAAGCCTGATTCACAAGACAACTCCAGAGTTTCAATCAGGAATCCATAGTGTCAGAAACATTCTGACCTGTCATTGTCTTTCTGAGTTCTTTGCAACAGAATTATTTTAATATGTTCTGTAGTGAAAAAAACAAGTGAAAACTAAGTTTTCCTTTCCCAAGGGGCACCTCAAATCTAAAAATGTTAAGAAACATTCTAAGCCCTAAGGTGGGTGAAAGATAGCTTTATGCTGCTTTCTTGCTCCTTCACTCTGGTACTGGTTTGGCTCCCAGTTAAAATTAGAGTAGCTTTAGAACTCCTGTTTACTAAACTCACCTGCTTATGGCACACTAGCTGGGAACAGCTGGAGAATAGAGTTATGGTTATGTTACCTGCTCAGGAGTTCATGTCCCCCATCCCTTCCCCAAACCAGGTAGTTTGTGTATTGACTTTATGGGCTTTTTGTTCCACTGGAGCTGTACAAAGAGGCTTCAGCCTAGTTCTGGTACGCTGACTCCTTGTGTAAGGCAGAGAATCCTTCTGGCTCAGAAAATAGCCTAGTAAAAATGGAGTGGGGTCTTCTCTTCTAGTGTATATTTCCTTTTTTTTAAATATAAATATATAAGGAATTCTTCAATCATTCTCTTAAAGCTAGGAGCTGTGTCCATCTCATTTGTATCACGTGTTACACTCTACCCCAAACCAGAAAGAGTGAGACACTCCAGGACATCCTTTTAAAACAGAGTTTGGTTTGATGAATTTGCTGCTGTTTCTTTTTGCAGACACCATTGGTGCAGTAAATGCCTGAGTATAGGCTCTCAGCTGGACCTTGTAGCTACTATGCCTATGATACTTCCATTGATGTCAATGACTTGGGGCCCCTCTCGACATTCAGGTAAAGGTGTGATACGATCTGATACATGATCCACACAATCCATTGCAGGAGGCACGATTGTGAACTCCAGCATCGGATCCTATCACACCTTATTGCTGGCAAAGGGGGATCTCTGTATTGTCACCCCAGGCTCCCCCTGCACCAGCAAATAAAAAGCTCCTGTAGCTTCAAGTCCCATAGCTAAGGGGACTCGCAGCTGTGGCAGTGCCCCATGGCCACTAGGACTGTGAGTCCCTGTGAGCTGTGGAACTCTCCATCCAGGTGCCATCCTAAGGCTGCTGGGACCAAGAGTCCACAGCTGTGGGACTCTTGATCCTGATAGCTGTGGGGCACTACCAGGATGGAGAGTCCCTTCAGCTACAAGACTCTCAGCCCCAGCTGTGCATGGTACACCCCAGTGGCAGTGAGCCTGGTCAGCTCACAGGGGAGACCCTGCCACATGTGCAAATTAATGCTGGATAGAAACCAACTCTAAAATTTGTACACATTTTTCAAGGTCTAACTTTCTAGCTGGTTGGACCTTTTTATGGAGTGGTAGGTACTTTGTACATGTAGCTGGTCTCTTTTATGCAATTAACTAGTTGCGAGGGACCCTTGTAGGCACTGATAAGAGCTCAAGGAATCCATTGGTTGGACTGGAGTCCTATGAGTCACTAAAAGCAACGGGAGCAGCTTTAGGACTGCTAGAAAGCACTGCCTTTCAACAGCAGCTTGATCTCTGAGTTCATTTACCAGGCATTATTGTGGAAGTCAACAAAACCTATAAATTAAAAATCAACACTGCTTGCAGTGATAAGGGTAAAATAGATATTATATGGTGTGATTTTAGGTACATGAATTGTCCCAACCTTTGGCAATAGTGTTTGAAGTATGCACATCTATCCCACTGACTAAACTCTTCAGCAGG